ATACTGCTGCATTGTTCTAGGACCAATCAGACTGCTGCATTCTGAATCCTATTGTTCTAGGACCAATCAGACTGCTGCCTTTTGGATCCTATTGTTCTAGGACCAATCAGACTGCTGCAGTTTGGATCCTATTCAACTCAGTACATAACACCCCTCCCCTCTAAGTTCCAGTCCTGCCCGGGAGGTCGCATTCATAGTCCTTGAGGTATGCCGGCGGCCTACGTGTGTGTTGCGGCCTGGGGTGTTCCCTGGTCCGAGGTTCAGGTTCTGGCTCGTGTTCCAAGGATGCTGGCTGTGATGGGGCTGTCTGGTCTGGCGCAACCGGCTCGCTCAGTCGTGGTTCTGGTTCCGGTGTCCTTTCGGCCTCGCAGGTCCTTTCTGTATTGACTGATTCTGCCTCTCCTGCTGGCCCCTCGTGCTCTATGGGCCTCACTGCCCCTCTGTTCCCTTGGGACTCCTCTGCCCTTTCCTCCTCCTGGTTTTCTCCCGGGAATCGTCGCCGTATCTGGTCGCAGTGGCGGCGCCAGCATTGCCCCCCTTCTGTTAGCACCTCGTACGACACGGGGCCAGTGACCCTGGTGACTGTGGCAGGTACCCATGCTGGGCCTGCCCCAAAATTCTTTGCATACACTGGGTCCTGGGCCTCGAAGGTCCGGGGGTTCCTGCCTTCCCCCACCACTACCTCATCCTGAGCTCTATCGGGGTGAAGGCGGTCCAATCTGATTGCAAGGCGCCGACCCATTAGTAGTTCAGCGGGGCTCCGGCCAGTCGTTGAGCTGGGGGTGCTGTGCTGTGCTAGAAGGAATGTGGCAAGGCGGTACTCCCAATCCCCTTGCGTCATGCGGCGAAGGGTGTCCTTGGTGGTCCGCACCATGCGTTCTGCTTGGCCATTGGTGGCAGGGTGGAATGGCGCCGAACGGATGTGGCGGATGGCGTTCTGTGCTGTGAAGGTTTGGAATTCTCCTGACATAAATGCAGTCCCGTTGTCTGAGACGAGAGTGTCAGGGAGCCCGTGGGTTGCAAACAGCCTGCGTAGTACCCGGATGGCTGCGGACGTAGAAGTGGACGGTACCAGTGCGACTTCCAGCCATTTGGTGTAGGAGTCCACCACTATGAAGAATGTTTTCCCCTGAAAGGGGCCCGCAAAATCCACATGCAGGTGTGACCATGGTGCTCGGGCGGACTCCCAGGACTGGACTGGGGCCCTTGGGGGATCTGGGTGGGATTCTTGGCAGGCCTGGCAGTGTTTGACCCAGGCCTCTATCTCTCCGTCAATCCCCGGGCACCACACATAACTCCTGGCAAGGGCCTTCATTCTTACTACCCCTGGGTGTGTCTCGTGTAGGGCTGTGAGGACCCTTTTGCGGAGGGGCTGGGGAACAACGACCCTGCTTCCCCATAACAGGCACCCCTTGTGGGCCGACAGTTCATGCTTGCGGGTTGTGTAGCCAGCGAATTCTGGCCCGGGGCTGCTGCTGGGCCATCCCCTCCACACCCAGTCCAGGACCCGGGAGATGACCCTATCTTTCTTGGAATGGTGTGCAACTTCTTGTGCCTGAATGGGGCGGTCGGGAAGCAGCTCCAGGCTCATAACCTCTTGTGCAGGTGCTGGGTCGGGGCCTGTTTCTGGTAGTGGTAGCCTGCTGAGGGCATCCGCATGGCCCATCGCCTTCCCAGGACGGTAAATCAGTGCATACTGGTAGCTGGCAAGGAAAATTGACCACCTGAGGACGCGAGGAGACAGCACTTGGGGGGTCTGCTTTTCAGGGGCAAACAAGCCAAGCAACGGCTTGTGGTCCGTCACCACGGTGAAGGGCCGCCCGTACAAGAAATCATGGAATTTTTTTACTCCCTTCACGATTGCCAGACCCTCCTTGTCGATTTGCGAGTAGTTCGCTCGGTTGTGTTGAGTGTCTGGGAAAAGTATGCCACTGGTACCTCTCTTCCATCCGGGAGTTGGTGTCCCAGGACAGCGCCGATTCCATAGGGCGAGGCGTCGCATGCTAGCACCACCGGCAGCCTCTCGTCGAAGTGTGCCAAGACTGAGTTTGAGACAAGCAAGTCCTTGACTGCCTGGAATGCGGCCTCCTGGCGCTGGCCCCACACCCAAGGGGCCCGCTTGTCCAGGAGTCTGTGTAGGGGCTCCGCTACCGCCGCCTTGTGGGGAAGGAAGGAATGGTAAAAGTTCAATAGTCCCAAGAAGGCCTGAAGTTCAGTCTTGTTCTTGGGCGCTGGGGCATCACAAATGGCCCGTACCTTGTCCCCAGTCGGGTGGACCCCTTCTGCGTCCACCATAAATCCCAGAAAGTCCACCTGAGGCACTCCTAGTAGACATTTTTCCCGCTTCACCTTGAGACCCGCCGTCTGGAAACGGTGCAGAACGGTGCGGAGGCGGTCCTCAAACTCCTCTGGTGTGGGCCCGGCAATCAACACATCATCGAAGAAGGGGGTGACGCCAGGAATCCCTTTAAGGAGAGAGTCCATTAGATTCTGGAATATGCCTGGTGCCACGCTGACACCGAATTGCAGCCGCTTTACCCTGAATGCTCCTCTGTGCGTCACAATCGTCTGTGCCTCTGCTGTAGCCTCATCTACTGGCAGCTGTTGATATGCTTGGGCCAAGTCCAGCTTGCCAAAAATTTTCGACCCAGCCAGGGTGGCAAGAACATGGCTGACCACTGGCACTGGGTATGCATGGGCCGTGAGGGCCTTGTTTATGGTACATTTGTAGTCTGCGCAGATGCGGACCGAACCATTAGGCTTGACGGGTGTGACAATTGGGGTTTCCCAGGGGGCATTAGGCACCGGCTCCAGCACCCCTTGCTCCACAAGCCGGTCCAATTCCTCGTCTATACGGGGTTTCAGGGCGAACGGGACCCGGCGGGCCTTGAGCCTGACCGGTCGTACTGCGGGGTCAAGCTGTAGAGCAATGGGGGGGCCCGTATACTGTCCCAATTTCCCATCGAAAACCCCCGGAAATTCCTTGCATATGGCGTCCACGTCTACTTGTAAGCTAGTGTGGTTCACCCCGGTGACGGCTAGCCCCAGTGGTCCAAACCATGCCAATCCCAGTAAGCTAATGTAGGGGCCCTTGACCACAAGCAAGTCCAGTTGCCGCGTCCGCCCTCGGTATTGCACCCTGAAGGTCCCCACCCCCATTGTGGGGACCTTACGTTTCTGGAAGTCCCGGAGGGTGAATGGGGCCGGCCTGAGTTTGGGACCCCCCGTAGGACACAGTTTTCTTAAGGTCTTTGCCGAGATTATGGATAGAGTTGAACCCGTGTCAAGCTCCATGCGGCATGGGGCCCCCTCTATCTGTACCTTGACATAAATTTTCTCTACGTTGGGGTGGGGCAACTGGTATACCTGGAAGTCCGTGAGCTCCGTCGAGTTGCCTTGGTGTGTTGGGCCCCGGGACCTGGGGCTCTTGGATTGGTCATCTGATGCCTGGCGTCGGGTGGGCCGAGCCCGACACACCCGGGCGATGTGTCCCAATTTTCTGCACTGCCTGCACTCTGCGTTGCGGAAACGGCAGGTCCTCCTCTCGTGACTTTCTCCACAGCTTGCGCAGTTCCCTCCTTCTCGTCGAGGCAGCTGTGGTATGTGGGCTGCTTGAGTGCGCTGCTGTACTCGGTGCACCTCCTCCCTGTCGGATCCTGAGTCGTCGGTGAGGTCTTCGTGGTGGACCCTCGGTTGGGATGACAGGCTCGGCCGTGCCTCTTGCGTCGACCTCTCGGCAGCTTCCGTTGCCAGGGCCTCCTCCAGAGCAACCTGGAACGTTAGGTCCTTCTTAGCGTAGAGGCGTCGTTGCAGCTTCTCATCCTTCAGGCCACCGACGAGGCGGTCACGAAGCATGTTCTCCAGCTCTGAGAAGTTGCAGAACCGGGCGGCTTGGCGGAGAGAGGTCACAAACCCAGTTATGGTTTCCCCAGGGGCTTGCCGCTTTGCGTAGAAGGCATTTCGGTGAGCCACCACTGAGGGCTGTGGCGAAAAGTGCCCCTTCAGCTGTTCCATTATTGTTTTGTATGGAACAGTAGCGACGTCTTCAGGCGCAAGGAGAGCCCGGGCGATTTCAAACGTCTCCTCTCCGCAGACGCTGAAGAATATCGCCCTCTTCTTGGCGTCTTCTTCGTCGGTGACCCCTTTGGCTTCTAGGAGGAAGGTGAAACGGGAGGCGTACGCTTCCCAGTCTCCAGATGCTGGGTTGAACGGCGAGAAGCTGTTGTCGGTTGCCATTCTGAGTTCCTTGTGTCCCGGAGCTGAAGCCTGGATACACGGTGCGAGGCAGCGGTGCGGCAGTTGGCGGTGCTGCGGTGCTGTGTGTGGCAGTCAGCTCAGCGGGATCCCACCTTCGTCGCCAGTGAAATATACTCAGAGTCGCAAAGTGATTTCATGCTCTTTATTCAGCTCATAGTGGTGAGGAGGAATGAATGAATGTCTGAGGGGTCTGCTTTATATACATTATTTACACAATGGGCTGCACATGATTGGCTAATTCTGGAATTCTACTGTAAGCCAATCAGGTTGTGGATTCACTTCTATCTGGAGCATGATTGGGTAGTTCCTGCCAACCAATCATACTGCTGCATTGTTCTAGGACCAATCAGACTGCTGCATTCTGAATCCTATTGTTCTAGGACCAATCAGACTGCTGCCTTTTGGATCCTATTGTTCTAGGACCAATCAGACTGCTGCAGTTTGGATCCTATTCAACTCAGTACATAACAGAGGTGGAGTCAGGAAAATGTGTGTGTGTGTGTGTGTGTGTGTGTGTGTACCTCTACTGTGCATGCAGAAAGTCTACAATGCCCCCAGGTAAAGCTTGGAAAGCCACTGCCCATCCTGCCACTTCACCACCCGAGGCACCAGCAGGAAGTCAAAAACACTGTGGTAGGCGGCTGTCAATCTCTAGGATTTTTTTTTTTTTTTGCAGTTTTGCAAAGGGACAAATGTCAATGCTTGCTCCAGATTTGCTATTCTGTCTTTGCTCACAGGTTTGTGACTTGCAACCCTTCTTGTCTTGCACTCCTTTTTGCAGTCTTAGTATAAGCATGAACACAGCAAAATTTTATTTTGGTTTTTTTAATCCACAGGCTGCATTTTTATTTTTCTTGGTCTTTTCTAACAATTCTTATGCTTGCTTGCTATGCTGCTGCAAAAGAGGAGAAGATGCACATCTCCATTCCTGCTGCTATTTCTGTCCAGCAAAGAAAACACAAAGACTTCGAAACTCTGGCCCATCTGAGGGAGGAATCTGGGGCACTACAAGCTCTATGAAGAGGTAGCGAAATCTGCCTTGGCATAAAATCATTGGCACTTTCCATGCTGGGACCAGCAAGAACGCCGTTCTTTTAACTCACCGAGACTTTTAACAATCTGAGATTCCAGTCTATCTGGAATCTCCTGCACTAGTCAAAAGGAGGAAATGCACACAATTCATTCTGTGTCCTGTGGTTTATAAACAATGGAGATTGCATCTGTGTGGCTGCCCTTGCTATGCTGGGATACGACAGGAGTCCACTATCTGCATTTTCCAGAAACAACAGGAGGCATTTTTGCTCCAAGGGGCTTTCCCAGCTGGTGAAGTGGGTCATTGTGACGAGTGTCCACTTCTTAGGGTTTTAGTTTTGTTTTAAACGTATTAGCCCTTTTATGTTTTTAATTGTCTCTGTCATACATTGTGTTGAGACCTTTATCTAGGAGGAATTAATAAACCAATAATACTGTAATTATTATCCAAGACAGCAAACTTTACTCTCAAGGGAAGTTCCTGTTTCCTTCTCTTAACTTGCCTTCCCAACCCATGTGCTAAGAAAACCTTAGAATTTCCACAACCAGAGAGGCATTCTTGCAGTAAATCCCAAACAATGCCACGTGGAAATCACCATTCTACTTTTGCAAAGCGCTTGGCTCAATATGCTACTTTTGCCGGTCACGTTTAACCCACTGAGGCTCTGCAATGGAGCAGAGCAGAAAAGCAAGAATCGAACCACATGAGAGATGGGATAAAAATGCCCACAACTTTTATTGCTTACAGCTAACAGGTGTGACAGAAGGCAAGCATTCAGATCCGAGAGCCACTACCTGGGGCAGGCTGGACCCGGATCACCAACCCAGGACCATTTAAGGGAGTCTTTACCTCTATGATCCATTCATGCATTCATCACCTTTATATACCAAGGAACTCAAGGTGGCATACATGGTTCTCGCCTTCCCATCTTATCTTCACAACAACCCTGTGAAGTAGGTTAGGTGGAGAGACAGGAACTGGCCAAAGGTCACTGAGTGAGCTTAATGGCAGAGTGGAGATTCGAACCCTGGCTTCCTCCAGGTCTTAGTCCGGCACTCTAACAGCTAGGCCACACTGGCTGTCAATCTGGACCAAGCCTCCAGAGCCTTTTCAACCACTTGAAATGAAATTACAATGGATTTTTTTTTTAAAAAAAAAGATTAAAATTACGGTGTTAAGAATATTAAAAAGAGGATCTGCTGGATCAGTGACCCACCTAGTCCAACATTCTACTCTCACAGTGCCCCCACCCCAGATCCAAAATCAGGATTCGAACACAAGAGCCCTCTCCCCGCCGGTGGTTTCCAGCAAATGGAATAAAGCTCTGGAAAATGATGCTGGATTTTAGAATATGTTGGATCTACTCTCATCCCGAGGTCATGTTGAACTTCCTGAGAATCTCAGCTGTTGTTTGAAGAACCAGCTTCCAGCACTTTGGGCTCTTACCCCGGGTGGGAAGAATTCCTGGGCCCCATGCCAGGGTAAAGCTTTCAGCTAATTTTGACTGGTGAAAGTTTGTCTGCATAGACTGTTCCTTGTTTCTCCCTTCCCCATGTTTCATTCATGTGGAACATGCTGTTGATATATCTGGCAATATTAGGCTTATATATTTTAGAAACTTAAATGCACGCACTGGCCTTCCAGACAGATTTAGCCTCTTGATAATCCTGTCTGGTCACCAACCTCTTGTTTGTTGGGGCAGTATAAAAACGCTAACAACTAAGAAAACCAGAGTTATGAATGGCAAGATAAATTAAAATATAAAAAAACAATATGCAAGTGTAACCAATCCAACATAAACCAACTCTTCCCCTGGAACAAATGGGCCGCAGTGATAGGACTGTGGAAAGGATAAATCAGTTATTATTGATATATTTATGCTCGTTTTGCGTGTTCTGTTTGGGTGGCAGGGGAGAATAAGTAGCACATTTAAGAAAAACCTAATACTGAGTTAAATGCTTTAAAAAAAACCAATTCCTTGGAAGTTCAGGACCCCCAAGGCGCACAATTTCATCAGGGAATACATTGCAGGAATTCATCAGGGAAATACATTTTCCCTGCTTGAGGGAAAATCAGGCTCGTTAAAAATTGTGTCCATTAATTTTTGCTTCTTTTCAAAGAGGGGAATTTTTTTTTAATAAGCAAAGCCCAAGGGAAGACAATGTCCTCTTAGATAAAGTCCCAGTCGCAGACCAAAATGGTACTGGTTATTTTTCTCAGAGGCACTTGTGCATATCCTTTTTATAACTTGAACCCACGTCCAATCTCATGAGCTCAAGAAATGCTTTTGGATCTTCTTTTGTATATTCTGCAATTTCATGTGATCCAGGGCTTTCCAGAGCTTCTGCACCACGACCTGTTTCCCCAGAGTGTCCTTGAGCTGGATGAGGAAGGCATGGAGTTCCACCTGGAGCACTAATGGGCTCTTCTCATCACAACCTGCGGCAGGTGCACTTCCGTTGATTCTGTGCAGCAGTCTCTCCAGCCGTCTCTGCGATCCGACTTGGTAAGGCACAAAGTCTATTATGGCGTCTTGACAATCACTCCCGATTCCTGGAGAAGGCAGGGCGGGGAACAAAACAGGTCTCGGTATTAGGTGGTGTGAATAAGGCCTTTAGTGCCAGGCTCATATTACAGTGGGTGGGTGGTGCTGTGGTCTAAACCACAGAGCCTAGGAGTTGCCGATCAGAAGGTCGGCGGTTCGAATCCCTGCGATGGGGTGAGCTCCCGTTGCTTGGTCCCTGCTCCTGCCAACCTAGCAGTTCGAAAGCACGTCAAAGTGCAAGTAGATAAATAGGTAGGAAGGTAAACGGCGTTTCCGTGCGCTGCTCTGGTTCGCCACATGACCCGGAAGCTGTACGCCAGCTCCCTCAGTCAAGAAAGCGAGATGAGCACCGCAACCCCAGAGTCGGGCACGACTGGACCTAATGGTCAGGGGTCCCTTTACCTTTTACTATTCAGTAGACTTCTACATGTTGTTTTTAGGCACCTGATAAGCTAAGCCATGCTTCAATCCAAAAAGGGATTTGTGGAGTAGGTTACAAGGGCAGAAAATAGAATCCACTGGCAACTCAACAGACCAGTATTAGAGTGATGTTTTTGAAATTCCCAGGCTTTCTGACCCAGTTTTAAAGTGCTGCGTATGAAACTTGCCATGACTACTGCAATGCATAGCTGTCAACTTTCAGATTTGAAAATAAGGAATCAGCAGCCTCGGAAATAAGGGATCAGCAGCTTCACCTGTCCTGGGGACAGTCTTTGGGATATCTAACAATCCAGGGAAGCAGTGGGAAACGGTGCTGGAATAAGGGAATTTCCCGCAAAAAAGGGAAGGTTGACAGCTATGCTGCAATGTGCTCTATGTGCATGACTCAGAAACTACAGCAGACCCAGAACGGGGCTGCCACACACCATACGTTACAGCAGTCATGGAGTATTCTGGGAACTGCAGTTCGTTAAAGGTGCTGACTTCACAGAGCTACAGTTCTCAGCACCCTTAGCAAACTACGGTTCCCAGGATTCTCAATGATTATTTAAGTGGAATAAGAGTGCTCTAAAAGCATGGGGTGGACGGACCATAAGCCGGCAAGAGTGGGAGTTCTGGAAAGGGCACAAAAGAAAGGATTTTGCTGAAGGTAAGTCACAAGTGCTTGATGTCCATTTGAAATGGGCAGGGGGGGGGTACCTGTGCCACCATGCAGCTTCTCACCTAGTAATTCATCTGCTTTGTCCTTGGTGCTGTTGGCTTTGCTCATCTTGCAAGCGGTGCAGAAGGTGTCATGGAACTGGTTCCCAGGGACGTTGACGGCCAGGCCTTGCTTAGAACAGTCCTGGTGGGGTTGGCAAACCTCAGTGCTGGAAACAGAGTCGGAAAAGGTCCCCTGAGGACACAGGATACATGTAGTGTCCTCCTGCGGGTTGCCTGTAAGATACAGCCATGGCAAAAGAAGAAGCTGTGAGCAAGCACTGCATGCAAATTCCGAATGGAGCTGGGCACTGTCTAAGAACATCGGCTCCCAAATGTCTTACCCCCCCCCCCATGTAGCACTTAAAAAATTGCTGAGGGTCTTGTAGGACCACTTGGTACTGGGGTTCTCTAAGGGTGTGGCAGGAGAGGATGGCAAGTGTATTGGGAAAATTCAAGGACAATCAAACATTTAAACATTTCAGTGTAGTATAGCATATTATCAGTATATCTATATTTGCAGAATATGATCACTGCAGTGAGAGATTTTACTTTCTTGGGCTCCATGATCACTGCAGATGGTGACAGCAGTCACGAAATTAAAAGACGCCTGCTTCTTGGGAGAAAAGCAATGACAAACCTAGACAGCATCTTAAAAAGCAGAGACATCACCTTGCCAACAAAGGTCCGTATAGTTAAAGCTATGGTTTTCCCAGTAGTGATGTATGGAAGTGAGAGCTGGACCATAAAGAAGGCTGATTGCCGAAGAATTGATGCTTTTGAATTCTGGTGCTGGAGGAGACTCTTGAGAGTCCCATGGACCACACACGTGGGTCCACAAGGTTTCATTTCCTCCCACCATTTCTACACGTAAAGCTTAGGTGAACCTGTGTAACTTATGGACTTCACTTTTGTGTGTTCCCCAGTGGCCGCAGTTGTTCCAACCAAAACAAAAGTGGTCTTAAACTTCACAACTGGAGGGGTTAATTGAAGAAAATCCACTACACTAGCCTGATTCAGTAAAAGGCAGAATTCTAAGTCAGGTATAGGTTCCCACAAAGTATGTGAATAATATAACTTGTTCAAAGTCCAAAATCCAGTTTATTACAGAACATATAGAAAAGAATCTCAGCAAAACACCACTGAACCACAAAACTTCTCTGAACTGAGTCCACCCATTGAGCACACCCAGTCCGAGGCAGAGACAAAGGCCTCATCCAGGCTTGTGACTTGATGCCATCTCCCATTGGGCAGAACAGAGGACTTGACCCATGTGGTCTATGACCAGAACTGTACTCCAGAAAACACAGATGTTTGCTAGAGGCACTGGCGAGAGGAAGGCAAATGAATAAGGGCTGCCAGACTGACGTTGCATTGCAGGGAGAATTTCTGGCCGGTATGCTTGCTTCTGCACCTCCATAAATAATAAATAACAAATAACAAATATTTATTATTTATACCCCACCCATCTGGATGGGCTTTCCCAGACACTCTGGGCAGCTTCCAACAAAATATTAAAATACAGTAATGCATCAAACATTAAAAGCTTCCCTAAACAGGTGGCACACACCTGGTTTCAAACCCATGCAAAGCCCTGATGGCAACTGTCTATCTTGCAGAGCCTTGCCAGAATTCCCCACTGTTCATGGAGTACAGAGCGTCACATTTTATCAGTCATAACTCCCCCTGCAAAGCCATTTCAGTGAGAACCAAGGACGAGGGGAGATGAGCTGTCCATGAAAGCTGAGCCCAGCCCTGCGTTTATGAAAGCCAGGCTGCCTTTCCAAGATATGCAACTTTCGCCTTCACTGAAATATGATGCCAAGGAATCCCCCTGTCTAAGAAAGAAAAGAGAAAGTGGAACAGCGCTGGTCTCCTGCCAAGTCACTTGGTGATCCGGTGACAGACATGACCTCAGACACCGCTTAGATCATGGCCGGGGGCACTTGCTGTTAGGAATGCAGAGAGCTCCGGCAGGGATGGGAACCTGTTTGGAACGCAGAGGCTTGGCCCTGCAAAACCAAAAGCAGCTGGAAGAGGGGACCTTTGGGCACACTCACATTTCTCCCTCCCTACAGAGTAATCGCAGCACATGTAAGAACATAAGAATAGCTTGCTGGATCAGGCCAATGGCCCATCTAGTCCAGCATCTTGTTCTCAACCGGATGCCCCTTATGGGAAGTCCATAGGAGGACCTGACCACAAGAGCCCTCTCGCCTCCTGCAGCTTCCAGCCACTGCCCAACTCTCTCCCATCCTGTTTCAAAAGCCAAGAATAGAGTGTGCTCTTTATGCTAGGAGGGGAATCCCAGCATCGCCCTACGATTCAGTAGGCGCCACGGCTCAAAACGAGCCTCGTTAGACTGTAGCAGGACGGGCTGCGCCAACCAGGTTGGCAAAGGTGGTTCTACAGCTGTACCCTGAAGGAAATGGCAACGCCAACAAGTTGTTGTTCCTCCGGAAGAGATGCAAGTTTAAGAATGTTATAACATCAAACTGCAAAACTAAGCTGGAAACTAAGCTTTATGTATATGTAAATATGATTTATTTACACATATTAAAATTGGAAGCTTTGAATGGAGAGAGATTTCACAGCAGTTACATCTCAGAAGAAGCCCATTCTTCACAGCAGCCTAGTTGGATTTACAGACATCTGGGTGCCACAATACAGTGGTACCTCGGGTTAAGAACTTAATTCGTTCTGGAGGTCCGTTCTTAACCTGAAACTGTTCTTAACCTGAAGTACCACTTTAGCTAATGGGGCCTCCCACTGCTGCTGCACCGCCGGAGCACAATTTTTGTTCTCATCCTGAAGCAAAGTTCTTAACCTGAGGTACTATTTCTGGGTTAGCGGAGTCTGTAACCTGAAGCGCCTGTAACCTCAAGCGTCTGTAACCTCAAGCGCCTGTAACCTCAAGCGCCTGTAACCTCAAGCGTCTGTAACCCGAGGTACCACTGTATATGAAAGGTATTGACAAGCTGGCATGTGTGCAGAAGCAGGCAACCAGGATGATCAAGGCTCTGGAAACAGAGGAACAGTTGAAGGAGCTGGGTATGTTTAGCCTGGAAAAGAGCAGACTGAGAGGTGATATGGTAGTATCTTCAGATGTCTGAAGAGGGATGTCAGATGTCTGTCACATGGAAGAGAGAGCAAGCTTGTTTTCCACTGATCCGGAGGGTAGGACTCTAACCAATGGACTCAAATGACAAGAAAGGAGATTCCGACTAAGCATCAGGAAGAACTTTCTGATGAGAAGGGTTCTTCCAACAGCGGAATGGACTCACTCAGAAGGTGGACTCTCCCTGAGTGGAGGCTTTTAAGCAGAGGTTGGATGGCCATCTGTCAGGGATGCTTTAGGTGAGTTTCCTGCATTGCAGGGGGTTGGACTAGATCAGGCATAGGCAAACTCGGCCCTCCAGATGTTTTTGGACTACAACTCCCATCATCCCTAGCTAGCAGGACCAGTGGTCAGGGTGATGGGAATTGTAGTCCCAAAACATCTGGAGGGCCGAGTTTGCCTATGCCAGGACTAGATGATCCTGGTGAGCCAGCTCTATAATTCTGTGATTCTAACCTCTGTGATTTACCAGGGCCAGCCAGCCCAAACCAAGGGCTGTCCCCAGTAGAGCGGTGCCTGTTGGGTTCAAGAGTGAGGGTGCCGCTCGCAATACGTACCAAGCTGAGCAACTCCGGTTCCCAAGGGGCAGCTGGAATGCTTTATGCAGAAATCCAAATCTGAGTGGTAGCCCGCCTTGCACTGGCACGCCCGGTTGTGTGTGCCATTGCACGGCCGCACCTCTTCTTCCAGGCTGTTGCAGAAGACGTTGCAGTACAGGCACTTCTTGAGGTAGTTCCAGTATTGCGTGTAGTGGAGGGCGGGGCAGGGCTGGCAAACGGTGTCCTTATCATTGGTGCACTCTTCAGCCACGTACGTCCCCGGCGGGCACTGCTTGCACACAAACACCTCATTGGTCCGGCGATCTCGCCTGCTGTAGGTGGGGTAGCTGCCGGAACACGGGGGCCCCAAGAGCAGGACGTAGAGCACCACCCACTAGAAGGCAAAGGGAGAGAGCGCAAGTGAGCTGGATGCAGCAACCGTGTTCCTTTCCCAGTAACTGTCCTTGGCAAAGGTTTCTGCCATTGGGTGAGATTTCTAACATTTTGCTAGTATCCTCGTGGTCAGTTCCTGCTCTGAGGAGTTTTCTCCCAAACATCTGGTTGGCCACAGTGAGAATGGGATGCAGGATTAGACGGACCACTGGCCTGACCCACCAGTCTCTTCTGAAAAAAGGTAAAGGTAAAGGATGCCTGACAGTTAAGTCCAGTCGCGAACGACTCTGGGGTTGCAGCGCTCATCTCGCTTTATTGGCCGAGGGAGCCAGCGTACAGCTTCCGGGTCATGTGGCCAGCATGACTAAGCCGCTTCTGGCGAAACCAGAGCAGCGCATGCAAATGCCATTTACCTTCCCGCCAGAGTGGTACCTATTTATCTACTTGCACTGGTGTGCTTTCAAACTGCTAAGTTGGCAGGAGCTGGGACTGAGCAATGGGAGCTCACCCCGTCGCGGGGATTCGAACTGCCGACCTTCCGATTGGCAAGTCCTAGGCTCTGTGGTTTAGACCACAGTGCTACCCGCTCTTCTTAGGTTCCTATAAAGGGAAGCTTTTAATGTTTAACAGACTATTGTATTTTAATATTTTGTTGGAAGCCGCCCAGAGTGGCTAGGAAAACCCAGCCAGATGGGTGGGGTATTATTATTATTATTATTATTATTATTATTATTATTATTATTAGCATAAGAAGGCCCGTCCACCACCCTCTTTTCCACATGCCTCTGGGAAGCCCACAAGCGTGGCATGAGCACAAAAGTCTTCTCCTACTGTTCATCCTCTGTGTCCAAAAAGCCAATGCATGCTCCAAGTCCTTCTTCCCCTGCAGAGACAACAGCCCTGAGACTAGGAACAGGCTTCCTTTCCCTAAAGCAATGCGTGCAACTCTCACTTAGAATATTGAGCCACCTGCATTCTGCCACCTCCTGTGTTCCTTGTTTCTCTTTAAGATATGCAGAACTCTGCTTGACTTGGCAACATCCCAGTTCAACTGCTTCCAAGAAGTCCATACAACAAGTAGGAAGATAGCCCTCCTTTCTTGCGCTTCGCAACCCTCTGCACCCTCCCCAGCAGTCAAAGGCAGGCTGCTTCTGAACATTAGCTGTCATTGCTAATAGGCCTTGATGCCCCTACCCTTGGCCAAGCCCTAGAGTCATGAGAGAGAGAGAGAGAGAGAGAGAGAGAGTTCTTCCATTCTCTCTGCACCAGGGTTTCCCAAACTTGGGTCTCTGGCTGTTGTTGGACTACAACTCCCATCATCCCTAGCTAGCAGGACCAGTGGCCAGGGATGATGGGAGTTGTAGTCCAATGACAGCTGGAGACCCACGTTTGGCAAACCCTGCTCTACACCAAGAGTAGCCAACGTGATGCCTTCCAGGTGACTACAACTCCCATGTTGGACCCTCCAGCTCTACCCTGTTCAAGCGTATTTATGCTTGCAAACCTAGACCCCTGAAAGCAAAAGGGAGCCGGGAACTCTACCTCCGAGAGCGTCCTGAAAGGGTTCCGCTTGCTGTAGAGTTGCATACTACTTCCGAGGGTCTTGACAGTCCTGCTCGCTCTCTTGGAATCAAGTGGGGTCTGCTGCAGCACAGACTCAGCTTACGGAAAGCGCCCTTCTCTTGTGTTTGCAGACGATGTAGTTCTGGGAAAGAAAAAGTGAAAGGAAACAGAGTGTAAAGAGACCGTAAAGAACACAATGCGCAGGAATGCTGAGGGACGGGATGTTCTGTTCTTTGGAGAGTAGAATGAACCTTCTTAATTTGTCCAATATTGGCTGTTTCCCATGCGATCGGCAAGTCCTAGGCGCTGAGGTTTTACCCACACCGCCACCCGCGTCCCTTAACCATCAACTAGTTCCACACAATCCAAACCATCTACGGTGTGAATCTGTCCACGGCCAGTTCAATTCATTTCCCTCTGAACTCCCTAGTCTACATCTCCCTGCCGCAAGAAGCGTGTAACTTTTTTTTTTTAAGATATTTATTAAAGTTTTCAAAATGTTACAAAAAGAAAAAAGAAAAAGAAAAAATACAAAGTAAAAACAGTTAAAAACAATTCAATCTTTCCGTATCTTATCTTTCATTTGCTTGTTCCCCAGACCTCCTCACACCTCCCTTTTTTGTATTCCAGTTCAATTAGTTGGTTCAGCAAATCCTTTCCCTCTTTGTTTTTATCCTAATCTTTAATCTTAATATATTATAACTTTAGATTATCACCTGTTAACAATCCATTTTTGCACATTCCTTTATAACATTACTGCTGAAAACCACTTAACTTCAATCCAACATCATTCTAACATTCATTAATTTTGCAGTATTTCTGTAGATAGTCTTTAAATTTCTTCCAATCTTCTTCCACCGACTCTTCTCCCTGGTCTCGGATTCTGCCGGTCATTTCCGCCAGTTCCATATAGTCAAGAAGCGTGTAACTTCTTGCTACCTATGGATTACACCACCTAGCCTTGGATCATAGCCAAATGTCTTATCTTAGAATGAGGTTTCTTTGAAGACAGGTGCATTAAGTAGAAGATGCACAAAGAGACTGGAGCTGACATACGACTCGTACACAATGTTAAATAGGAACCAGCCATCTATCTATCAAGGGACCCAAACCAATGGCTTCAAATGACAAAAAATGAGGTTCCAATTAAACTTCAGGAAGAACATTCTGACAGTAAGAGCAGTTCAACACCCTCAATAATGTCTACACGGACTGGCAGTGGCTCTCCAGGCTCTTCGCCAGGCAGTCTTCCCATGTCCTACCTAGAGATCCCAAGGATCTGGCCTGTTCCGCCCCTCAGCCACAGCCCTTCTCCAAACACATGCTAAGCCAAGCAAGATATAAGATGAAAAGTGTGTGTTATGCTTATGTGAAACAAGACACAGACCTCATATCCTAATAGCGCAAGGATCTGGGAAGCATCCAGCCACACAAATCTTTTCAATTAAGAATAAATCTTTACCCAATAAAAGTTTATTACTTAAATAAACTCTGTGTGAATCCCAGACATCTCTGCTAGGACCAAAAGAATTAACCACAGTAGCCCAACTGAAGTCATCTCAGACACCCTCCAGATATTTTGGGTTATGACTCCCAACATCCCCAGCCAGCACAGGGTTAGTAAGAGCTATAAAACCAGAGCAGGGTTGCATAATGCGGAAGGCTGGCTTAAGAGAATGAAGGAAACCTCACTCCTTTTGAGCGAAAAGAACATAGTCACCGCAATGGAATACCAAGGCACCTTTTGCAGTGGATGATGATGATGATGATGATGATTATTATTATTATTATACCACTTTATATTTTAAAGAAAAAAATCTCAGAGCAGTTTACAACACATTAACACATCAAATAAAACAATCCAGAAGAAAACAAATTCAAGCTTCAAGGAAAATATTTCAGATCCTTTCTCTAAGTGACATTTTGCTTTCCCCACATTTATTTCCCCATACTTAATTTATAGAGCTGCCCCACAGCAGAAGTGCTCTAGGAAGCCAGTGTGGTGTAGTGGTTAGAGTGTCGGACCAGGACCTGGGAGATCAGGGTTCAAATCCGCACTCAATTGTGAAGCTCACTGTGGGTCATTGTAAGGATTAACTGTGGAGTGGTAGGGGGTGAACCATGTACTCCTTGGAGAAAATGTTGAGATATGAATGCAATAAATAAATTCTTCTCCTTATCTGCTGGAGGGCCCAACCAGACGGAGATGTCAGTCGCCAATCTGGCAACAAGACATCTCCACATGGTTGCAAAATGTGCCTGGGGAATTTCTAACACTGCTATGCAACACACACACTGCTTTTCTTCCCAGTTTATATACTGTACTTCCCAATTTAAATGTATAAAGTTACATGATTAATTTGGGTGGGTAGCTTACACAGAAAGGCATTTATATCTGTAAGACAGGATTCTTTTGAAAAAGAGACTTGATGAAGTGGTCGAATCAGCCACTTTGGGCGGATCCACAGCACGCATTGAACACAAATTTGAAGCACTTCTCTCAAAGGATCCTGGAAACTGTGACCTCCCATCACAGAGCTACAATGCTAGCAGCCTTAACTACAGTTCCCAGAATTCTTTGGGGAAAACCATGTGTTGAATGTGCTTTAGAATGTATGTGGATTTGCAGTGTTATAGCACTTTAAATAAACCCTATAATATAGCAGAAGAATTCTGCTCAACAAAGAACAGTCTCTTTTGTACACCTGATGAACATTTAACGACAGCCTCATATGCACATCTGTACACACAAACACACACGCATGCACCTGACAAAAACTTCATGTCCTTATGACAGCATCACATGTACATCAGCACAGACACATGCATGTCTCATACCTCCCACCAGACATAAACACACATGCACCAGTGGCACATGAACACACAGGAAATCATCATCTCTGCCACGAAAACAGCACTGACGACCCCTACCTTCCCTCGGAATGCACATCTGCACAGGGCACCGTGCGGAAGAGGCTAATAATAATAATTTTATTATTTATGCCCTGCTCATCTGGCTGGGTTTTCCCCAGCCACTCTGGGTGGCTTCCAGCGCATCTAAAAACATAACAAAACGTCAAACATTAAAAACCTCCTGATACAGGGCTGCCTTCAGATGTCTTCTAAAGGTTGTGTCGGTGTTTATCACCTTGACATCTGATGGGAGGGCGCCACCGCAGAGAAGACCTGGTGATGATGATGGCGATGATAACCAACTATGTTTATAAGGGTACCTACTGAGAAGAGCCATTAAAAAGAAACTGTACCAAAATGTGGAAATAATAAATATTCAGGGGCGGCGCCGAACTTTGTCCTCGCTCAGGGCGCAGTAGCACCAAAGTCCGCCCCAGCATCTTGTCCATACCTGTATCTGCACACATACCTCGCACCAGACACAGACCCACATGCAGCCGGCGCGACCACGCGAACCCTCAAGGAAGGGTCATCTCCGCTAGGAAAGCAGCGCAGATGACCCTACCTGAGCCACGAATCATCGCCACGCGTTCCCTCGGAAGGCGCATCTCCGCTTTCTATTCGCGGCAACGCCAGAAACGCTTCGCCACGGCGCGTAAAGGCGCACGCCGAGGCGCACGCGGGCTGGCAGACTCCGCCGAGCCTCGCGCGCCTCTTCCGCCGCCGGAGCCGACTCAGCCGGCGCCGCGCTCCGCCCCTGCCTGCCCTTTACCTCGGCTCGCTGCGGTTTCGCTGGTGGGCTCGCCTTGGCGCGGCCTTTGCTCCCCGCCGCTTATATGGTGGCTCTCCGCCGCTTCTTTCCAGGTGGCTCCACCCCAAGGGAAATCCCAAAACCAAAACGCGTTTCCAAATTTGCGCGCTTCCTGGAAAAGCGATGAGGACAAATGGGGGGTTGATTCGGTTCATAGCTGTCAACTTTTCCCTTTCCTTGCGAGGAATCCTATTCCGAATAAGGGGATTTCCCTTTTAAAGAGGGAAACGTTGACAGCTTTAATTCGGTTCGAGGATCCGAAGCGCAGCGACCCGCTCGAAACAGCGGCAATTGGGTGATCGATCGCCCAAGGGGCAGCTGACGACCCTCTAGAGGGTCGTGTGTGTTCAGGTCCCATTCTGCGGTTTCTTCAGCCATGGATCTGCATGGCTCTGCTCCACTCTCTGTCCGCAAAATTCATCTGGATGGAGCTTATTCTCCCTTCCCTAAATCGCCGGCTCTCTGCTCCCCGCCTCGATTCTGGCATGTGTGCAGGCATTTTTGAACTTTTTTAAAGGCACCTTAAAAATAATAAATCGCAGGGAAGCAGCAAGTGCTAACGTAAGGTTGTGGCTGGGAGCATCTAGCTTGCATTGAGAAGTTCCTGGGTTCTATTGCCAGCGCCTCCAGGTGGAGTGGAGAATGTCACCTGGCTGAAACCCTGGAGTGATGCTGTCAATCAGTGTAGGCAGTACTGACCTGGATGGACCAACGGGGTTGATTTCATGAGGCTAGGTTCTTAAGTGCTACTAACCTCAGTTATGATTCATGGAAGGTGACGGGGGAAGTGGGTAGGAAGATATCAATTTCCTTTTAATAAGAAGAAATACTGAAGCCTTTGGCAAGAGTGATTGGCAGAGATTCCCAAACTGGTCTATGGACCACCATTGCTTTGTTTAAGTGCTCCGCAGTGTATCTGTGGATACTTGACTGAAGACGAGAGGCGGCACATCTGTCACATTAAATACCAATATTGCATTTAAACTGCATTTAAATTGCAGCTTTTATTTCTTACATTGTGTTTTTATTGTGTTTCCAATTTGAATTCTGTTGAATGCAAAAGAATACAACATAAGAAATTTCTAAAAGCAATAAAAACCCAATTAACAACCACGCATCATCTAGCACAGTAGTTTATGATTGCTACGACAGGCACAAAAACTATTAAGTGATCTGCCAAAACCCTCAGCAATTTTCAGATGGTCTGTGAAAGTCGTGGAATCACTGTATGTACTGTGATGACAATTTCTGAAGTAACCTGCACTGTGTAGAGATCTTGAGAAAACAACTCCCCCTGGAGCCAGGCTGCTTATTAAACATTGAACTCCTTTCTGGTGAATTTGGCTCCAACCCACAACAGTTTCTTGCTGTCTAAAGAGCCACAAGAGGGAGTAGAAGTTTCATCCTAGACAGAACAAAGTACAGTGGTACCTCGGTTTACGAACTTAATCCGTTCTGGAAGTCTGTTCTTAAACCGAAACCATTCTTAAACCAAGGCGCGCTTTCCCTAATGAGGCCTGCCGCTGGTGGTGCCCTTCCACCATTTGGATTCCGTTCTTAGACACTACTTCCAGTTTTGCGGAGTTCGTAAATTGAATCGTTCATAAACAGGACTGTTCTTAAACTGAGGTACCACTGTACTAGGATTTAATCCATGGCAGCATCTCTCATTCAAAGGGTCAGGATAAGGGTAAAGGGACCCCTAACCATTAGGTCCAGTCATGACCGACTCTGGGGTTGCGGCGCTCAACTCGCTTTATTGGCCGAGGGAGCCGGTGTACAGCTTCCAGGTCATGTGGTCAGCATGACTAAGCTGCTTCTGGCGTACCAAAGCAGCGCACGGAAACGCCGTTTACCTTCCCGCCAGAGCGGTACCTATTTATCTACTTGCACTTTGACTAGGTTGGCAGGAGAAGGGACCGAGCAACGGGAGCTCACCCCGTCACGGGGATTCGAACCACTGACCTTCTGATCGGCAAGTCCTAGACTCTGTGGTTTAACCCACAGCACCACCAGTGTCCCTTAAGGCTCAGGATAACAACCTGCAAATATGTCAATAAACAGGCGTAGGAGTTGCAGGTCAATGCTATGCCTGTTCATTCAGAACTGTGCTCTGTGGAACATATTCCCAAATAAATATGCATAAATAAATATGCCCACATCAAATTAGGCATGCCCTCAATTCTCTTGTGCTAAAATCCATGTTCAGCTTTACCTAAAGCACTTCGCAGAGATTTTGCTTTACTCAGTCAATTCCCATTAGTAAGTAACATAAACTTGGTTTGTATGGGCTGCTCCACTACAAGCCGAATGTGTGAACTGTCTTTCCTGAAAGAGGATTGAGATATTGGACAGTATGGTGATTAATCCATGATAGTTCTTGTGTGTGAGAAGAGAAGATTCCCTGGAAAAGACCCTGATGTTGGGAAAGATTGAGGGCACAAGGAGAAGGGGACGTCAGAGGACGAGATGGTTGGACAGTGTTCTCGAAGCTATGAACATGAGTTTGACCAAACTGTGGGAGGCAGTGGAAGACAGGAGTGCCTGGCGTGCTCTGGTCCATGGGGTCATGAAGAGTCGGACACGACTAAACAGCAATAGTTCGTGTGTGTGTGTGTGTGTCATGAGACATCAGGATGCTGTCCCCCTAAGCCAGGGTCGGCAAATTTTTTTAGCTGCGGGCCAGTCCACTGTCCCTCAGACCTTGTGGCGGCACGTGGGGAGGGGAGCTGGAAGAAGATGTGAGGGGGGCAAGGAGTCCTCCTCCCCACCCCCAGCCCCAGCCGCTGTGCTTTCCCCCCAGGGGCTGCTGCCACCACCACTACCACCACTACAGCTGCTGTTTCTTGTGGGTAGGCAGAGCGAGCTCATCTGCTCCACTCTCTGGCCCACAGAAGCACCAGGACGGCGGCGGTGGTGGGAAGATGAGCAGCGCGAAAGGGCTGGCTCCAGAGAGGGGCTGCTTAAAACGGCGTTCAGCCAGCCCAGCCCCCTTCCTCCTCTAGGCAGGGCAGGGAGGAGCCAGGAGGAGGGAGGGAGGAGACGCTGCCACCGTGTGTGTGAGGGGGGGTGGAATGGAATGGTGTGGGGGGAAATGGCGCAGCCCGAATGAACAGAATCCCCATGCCAATCCACAGACAGTCCAGGGGCTGGATCCTGAAGGCAATTTGGGCCTGATCCAGGCCCCCGGGCCTTAGTTTGCCGACCCCTGCCCTAAGCAATAGGTGTACACATGTACCATGCTTTAGCTGTGAGCTGTTTTGCCTCAGGAGTGTTAGTCACCATTAAATAATCCTTGATGACTACTCCAAATCTACTCCAAATCTTCTGAACTTCTGTCCCTTCCAGCTCTGTTTCACAGGATCCTTGGAATTACTCGGAACTGGCTAACAATGCAAGATGCTAAAGGAGACGGTCCTTCCATCTGGCTTAGCTGGGTCAAATTACTTCTATTGCTGGATCTTCCAACATTAGCATTACACAAACACCTGGTTACTTCACTTCCAATGAAACTTCTGAGTAAGCGTGTTCCGTAAGGGTGAAAACTTGAAGCCAGGTTTCTGGAACAATTGTCCAACTGTCCAACCACAATGTCACACTGGCTCTTTGTGATGCACGTACATTTAATAAGCATCTCTAAAGTTTTCTGGCAGCTATGAGCAAAGACTAAACAACACAGCCCTTCCAAGCAGGCTTTCAGTTTAATACCAGAACAGAACCATCTCCTCCATGAAGCATGTGGAGACTATTCCCTCAGGCAACAGAAAATTGGCAACGCCAACAGCCCAGGACTCTGGTTTTACTTGCTTCATTTTCTCCCTGCCCTGTTCCTCCTGCTGCTCCCAGCTGCACACCCAGCAAGGCCCTCTGCTACCCGCTCGCCTGTTACCAACCTCACCTGTTACTTGTTACTTTTAAGCTTTTCTTCTATATAATAATAATAATAATAATAATAATAATTTATTAATTATATTCCGCCCATCTGGCTGGGTTTCCCCAGCCACTCTGGCTGGCTTCCAACAGAATATGTAAAACATCAAACATTAAAAACTTCCCTAAACAGGGCTGCCTTCAGATGTCTTCTACAAGTCAGATAGTTGTTTATTTCCTTGACATCTGATGGGAGGGCATTCCACAGGGTGGGTGCCACTACTGAGAAGGCCCTCTGCCTGGTTCCCTGTAACTTGTCTTCTCGCAGAGAGGGAACCTCCAGAAGGTCCTCGGAGCTGGACCTCAGTGTCCGGGCAGAACGATGGGGGTGGAGACGCTCCTTCAGATATACTGGACCGAGGCCGTTGAGGGCTTTCAAGGTTAGCACCAACACTTTGAATTGTGTTTGGAAAAGTACTGGGAGCCAATGTAGGTCTTTCAAGACAGGTGTTGTATGGTCTCGGCAGCCACTCCCAGTCCCCAGTCTAGCTGCCGCATTCTGGATTAGTCGTAGTTTCCGGGTCACCTTCAAAGGTAGCCTCACATAGAGTGAAAATGTTGAAAACACATTTCTACTTGTGACAGTACAGGCACTCTCCTCATCACCTGAGGAAGGACCCACTTGGCGCTTTCTAAGAATAGGCAGGGAGGCGGAGGAGAAGCATCACTATTGCCACTGCTGAACTGGCAGCAAAAGAGGGGAAAGTGGACAGGAGTTGGGGGGGGAGAGAGAGGAGAAGTGGGGGGCAACAACTCAGGTGGTGCAATCTCTTGTGTGGGAAACCTGAGACCCAGGGGTTGAATGTGGTCTTCTAGGCCTCTCTGTCCAGTCCAGGGTACATTCCCCAGGTCCCCCCCCCATTGCCTGCCCCCTTCTGAGCTGCCCTTGAGTGCGCTAGTGTTATGTGCTGAGTTGAATAGGATCCAAAAGGCAGCAGTCTGATTGGTCCTAGAACAATAGGATTCAG